TCATTTCGATGCTCAGCAGTCATGTAGCTGAGTCTACATTCAAACACAGGCCTGTCTCCAGAGTCCAGCTGATCCCCACTCAAGACTGAATTGACTGCAAAGTTAAACGTGACAAGTCGTGGAGGCTAACTTCGAGAAGTTGAGAGAGCCTGAACCCTACAATGGAGGTCCCGGTCAGCTCTGGGGCTGTGTGGGGGCACTATTTACATCACTCGTCTGCTCTCCATGCCTGAGCATCTAATCGACTCCACTGAGCTAAAAGTGGATATTTTTTATTGTCCGTGGACCATTATTATTAGCTGTGTACCTGAAGAGATAAGAATATTTCCGCCTTTTCTGGAACTGTTTAAATGTGTAAGAGGGAAGGCTATTTCAGAGACCCCTATGATGACAATTATAAAGAAAAGAGCCGGCCCTGAGTGACCATGTGCAATTTAAGTGCATGAAAGGGAAGGCATGCCTGGGGGCGGACACCGGACCTGTGGACCAGCAAGAACAGCTGAGCCTGGAGCCAGGGGAATCCCACCCAAGGATGCCCCTGAAGCTCACAAGCCAGAGCTCAGGAAGTCAGGACTTAGGTGAGGAGGGAGAAGCTCCCTTCATGGCGCTGGCCACACGTGTGTATGTATACACATGTATGTAAAGACACACATACACGCATACATGGGCACACCTGCTGTGCTCCCCAGCACAAATACATATCTCCCCACCACCACCACCACTGGTGCTTCTCCTACCCAGCAGGAGAGGGTCCAAGGAGGAGCCGCCCACCTCCGAGGGCAGGCACGGCTTACCCATCCTTGTATCTTCCTATCCCCTTCCTTTTGCTAGGTCCTCCAGGGAGGTCTATCCAGTTCACCCAACAGACTCGGGGAGCCCTACTATGTGCCAGGCACTGGAAAAAAACCTAAGTTTGAAGAGAAAGAAAAGAGGGAAGGCAGAAGGGAAAGAAGCAACATGTACACAGCAGTGTCTTCACACAGAAGAGCATGTATTGGGTGTGTGTGTGCGTGTGCACGCGCACACGTGTGCACATGTACACAGTCGTGCATACTAGCCTGCACACGTGAGCTCCTGCTAGGGATGAGTGCCCCCAACATCCACCCCAGGGCAAGAGCACGGCTATGCAGAGAAAAGCGTTCTCTGACCGTCTCGACTTTTAGTCTAAATAAACATTCTTTAACTTGCAGCAGAAGAAACGTGGCTAGGACCACGGAACATCACAGTGGAGAGGCAACATCCACTCTGTTCCCCCTTCACGTGGGATGCAGCCTGAAAGGCCCAGAAGCCTGGGTTATAATCCCAGCACCACCACTTGCTAGCTCTGCGGACTTAAACAAGTGACCTGACCTCTCTGAGCATCAGTTTAGTCTTTAATAAGATAGTGATGGAAATAACAGAGCCTATCTTAGGGAGCAGTTGTAAGAAGGCAAGCGCAGAGCTTAAGAGAGCACCTGGCAGACAGTCAGCACTCAATGCATCTGTTAGGTTTCTGAGGCCAAAGGAGGAGGGGAGCAGGAAGATGAGGGGCCCAGCCTGGGGCCTAGACTCCTCGTGAGGCACTGATTCACATTTGAGGACCCAAGGAGGCCCTTCCAACCCCGAGGCTTGGAACGCTCTTGGTCCCCTGCCCTGTTCCTCTGCCCCACCTCTCCCCTCCACGCGAGACCTGGAACCCCATCTCCAAGATTCCCCCTGAGCCAGGACCCAGGTTCCTGGCCTTCCTGCAGTTTACCTCCCCCTCCCTTCTCTGTGGCCACATTTACCCAGCTGACCCTTCCTGGCCAGAGCCCCAGAGCTCAGCACCCCTTCCAAGCCTGCCTCCTCCCAGTCTCCCCAAGCAGCCCCGTCCCTGCCCAGCAGACGGATGGCAAGGTGAGGGGGGCTGCAGGGAGAAGGGACACTGGGCAGGAGCCAGAAGGACACCTCTCTGCTCTCTCAGCCTACTGACCACAGCGCTGTGCCCTGCCTGCTTGATCCAAGCTCTGGGACTGCTCTCCAGTGAAGGAGTCTCATCCACTCTCATTCTCCTCTCCTATCCATAAGGTATTTTGAGCATCTGCTCTGAGCTAGTCAGGCCTTGAGGATCCACCCCAATGCCAGTATTGGGGTCCTGCCCTCCAGGGGCAGCGGCAAGGCGGGATATGATCCACACCGGTACTTCTCAAGTCCCCTAGAGGGCTGGTTAAAACAAGGATCGCTGGGTTCTCCCCAGAGCTTCTGATTCAGCAGGTCTGGGGTGGGGCCTGAATATTTGCATATCTAACGCTTCCAGGTATTGCTGGTATCGCTGGTTTATAGACCACAGTGTGAGAACCGCTGATTCTCTCTGTAAGTCAAGGCGGACTGAAGCCAGGGCTTTGATCAGAAAGGAGGAGAGAAGCTCAGGGAAAGGGCACACCAGGCAGAGGAAGCAGCATAAACAAAGGCCTGGTGGCTCCAGGAAGTACAGCAGTGAAAGGTACAGGGAGGCGGTGCTGCTGGGGAAGGAGGGGTAGGCGGGAAGGGCACGTGGGGCCAGGCGGTGAAGGGGCCAGTGGGCAGCCACACCCCTGCCCTCTGGCTCACCAAGCAGCTCCTTTGTGCCAGGCGCCCCTGGAAACTCTGCCAGGTTCCTTGGGCTCTGGCCCAAACCCATCTTCCCCTCTGCAGCCACGCGGCACCCCTGCCCCAGGCCTGGCTTTCACAGGCTGCCGTAGGTGGCTGTCAGCATCTCTGCCCGCCCTCCCAGGGCGGCTCCTGGAGCCGCAAAAGGCAGCCCTGAGGTGCCAGGGAGACGTGCCAGGTAAGCCAGCATGCACACCACGGAGGAGCGCCCGCCATGCCCCAGCCCCCGTCTATCAGCTCCTTCTATCAGCACCAGGCGCTGGGCCTGTGTGTTTGTTGCCTCTTGAGCCAGAGCAGTTACTATGGGTAGATAATAATAGCAATCGTAATCCCTCATAATTGGACCAGACTTTGCTGTTTGCAGGGCACTCCATGCCCGTGACCTCATCTGACTTCCACAACCACCCTATGAGACAGGCACAGTGAGAGTTACTATCCCCATTTTACAGCTGAGCAAATGCAAGCCCAGAGGGCCTGAAAGTCACATCTCCAGGAAATGACATCCGCGGGCCTAGGGCCCGGGACTTGGGACTCTCTGGCCAGGGCTTTTTCTCTGTCCTGAATTGTCATGATAGTGAGCCCATCTGCTGCTCTTCCTGGGGGCTCTGCTGCCCAGGGAAGCCCTGGCCAGTAACGGGAGGAATGTGGCCTGTCTGCCCCCTCTCCTTCATCTGTGGGGGGGGCAGGTGACCACCAACTGCAGGTGTATGGACACAGAGCAGTGTCAGCACCAGCCAGGACACCGGGCCAGGGGAGGGGGTCAGGAGGAGCAAAGCCAGGCCCAAGGAGGGAAGGGAGTTAGTCATGGCCACAGCTGCGGGTCAAGAGCACAGGTGGCCGCAGGTGGCCTTGGCTCTTTGACGGCAGGGTGTGGGTCTGCTACAGTCTGAGTCCTGGGTGGGAGGAGCCCAGAAAGCCCATGGGATCAGAAAGAAAGGGACTGACCTGCAGCCCCTAGGAGCCCCAGCAGATGGGCTGCAGCATGCACTTTGTCTCCAGCTTGGGGGCATACATGGCCTCTCACCCTAAGGCACTCTACTGGGTTCCCAGCTGGGAAGGCAGGTTTCTGGGCTTCATGCATGCACATGTATGTGTGTGTGTGTCCATACCAGGACCCACACAGGTGGGGCAGGAGACTGGGCTCTCGTCTGGACTCACCACTGATTAGCTAGGCCCAGCTTCCTCGTCTACAAACCAGGGCCATCTGTCCTTGCCCCACTTGTTTCAAGGGCTGTCCTCAAGGACCAAATGGATGGAAATCACCCAGAAAACAGAAACTGACTCTAAGAATGAGCAAGCCTCAGAAGAGGCCGAGCACACACACTGGGGAAAGTAGGCAGGGAGCGGGGTCTCGGAACTGCGGCTGATCACGGTCCCCAGAGCTGCCGCTCCTCAGAGGGCTCAGGGGTCCCACGCCTGGTGTCAGGTGTCCCCCTGGTTCCAGAAAGACCAACTGTGCCCCGTGAGCACACCCTGCTACTCCCAGCTACCACCTAGCACCACCACCCCTCAAACCCGCTTAGGAAAAGGAGAGCAGGCAGAGGACACTGCGGGGACCAGCCCGGGCCTGCCAGATGGGACGCCCCAGGAAGGTCACGGCTGGCATGCTTCCCTGTCAGGGTGGAGGCGGGGCCTGCCATCCCTGGGGATTCGAGTGGTTCTGCCAACAGGTGGACATGGCTTGGTGAGGTCCTCAGACAGCCCGTCAGGACCCAGCAGGGACTCCCACTAGTCTGCAGGGATCTCCTCTAACTGACTTGGGCCCATCCTAGAGTTCAGCAGAAGGGCGAAGAGGTCACCCCTCTTGGGGCCCTAAAAACAAGGATGTCACTGGCTTTAGGGCCAGAAGTGATGCTTGCTCAGAGCCGGGGTGGGGTGGGGACGGGAAACCAGTGTCTCCACCGTGGCTGGTGCCACCCTGAGCTCACCGCACCCCACACCCCACAGTGAGCCGGGCTGTCTGTGTGGCAGCGGGAGTCCTCACCAGGCCTCCCATCTACAGAACTCCTTGAACTTGTCTTTGGCCTCCCCAAAGCTACTAACCCCTCAGGCAAACAGATCTAAACTAGGTAAAATGACTCAGACCTAAGGACACACAGCTAGTTAAGAGGCCGATTCAGAAAGGAAGCCAGGTTTGGGGCCCCTGCCAGGCCGACCCCTAACAATCACACAGACCTGGGCTCTGAAGTTCGGCTCAAACACCGCGGAGGGGTGGGGGTGTGGGCTTAGAGACCAGCTCCTGGAGCCTGATCTCCAGTATTTAACCTCTTCACACCTCAGTTTGCTTATCACAAAAGAAGGAGACTCCTTCCTCCCTACAGCCCCATGTGGAGACGAGCAAGGAGGTCCAGCGCCCAGCTCTCTCCCTCATCCCTGCACAGTCGGCTGCTCACCTTGCGCTCCTCCTCCCGCTCCGGAGCGGAGCCGCTGGTGTCCCCGGGGCCGCTGGCGGGCATCGCGGGCAGCTGGGCGGTGGGAGGCAGGCTGGGGCTGCACGGGGCTGGGGGGCTGCTGGGCTTTGAGGAAGGAATTATCGTGGTCTCGATAAGCAAGAGTTACAACTTAGACATAGATCCAGGTGCGGAGCGGAAACCCTGGGGAACTGCGGCCTCAGGCTGCCGGTGGGGTTGGGCTTCCAGTGACTCCACCTGTGGAAGAAGAGAAGAGAGGGGTCAGCAGGGCGGGCACCGCCCCCCCACCCAGACCCTCCCACCTGCCCCTAGTCCCTCCCAGGGCCAGCCCCTCAGCTTCAGGGCCCCCCCCTACCCCCCAGCCTGTGAGGCCTGCCCCTCCAACCTGACTCTTCTTCCCAGGCACGGGCTGGACCCGGCACCCTAGGGACCAGGGGAAATCGAGGCCACCGAGTTGGCAGCGGGGCCCTGCCTGGCTTCCCTCGGGGGGCCCGCCACCTGCCTCCGAGGCAGTGAGGGGACGACAGTCTCCCCGGGGCCTCCGCGCGGCTGTGGCACAGTGGGACTCACAGCTGCCTCCCGCCTCCTCCCGTGTCTTCATTCACGTCTGTTCTTTCCTTTGAAAGCTTCCCGCAGCCTCCCTCCCACCCCCAACCACCCCCTGGGAAATCCCAGAGGTCCCCAGCCCGGCTACATTTTCCTCTGATCTGTCCTCCCCGCACCCCCACCCCCACACCGCTCCCACCACGTGGAGGAAGTGAGCGGCAGTCACAGGATGTAGTGAAATGAATGTCACCTCACTTCGGGACGGGCGCCTGGGCCCAGAGAAAGCTGAGGTTGAACTCGGGGGCTGCGGCCAGGCTGAAGGCCTAGGTCTGCAGAGCTGTCGTGGGGACGCCCTGTGGGCGGGAGAGGCTGTGGCCGCAGCCACGCCGAGGGAGGAGGCCAGGCCGCTCTGCCCCTCCACCCGTGAACCAGCCCCATCTGCCCTCAGAAACTGGTGGGCTCCAAGGGGCCCTGCGAAGGCACAAGGCTGAATTTTAGGGGCTTTTCAGTCTCCCTGCTTCAGGTGTGGGCCTCAAGCCAGAGAACTAACAAAGCCTGGGCCCCACCCCCACCACAGGCCTCAGCTGGGGGTGGGGGTGCTGTGGCTTCACCCGCCCCCCCTTCACTCGGAGGAGACACTGAGTTCTCCTGGGCCAAGCCCCTGCCTCCAGTGCGCCAGCCAGGACGGGGAGGGGACTGGCAGGAGGAAAGTGGGAGGCAGGCTGGATCGAGGCCCACCCACACCCTTCCCCTTCCAGTTCCCGGTTCTGCTTCCCCCACTCCCCCTCCCTCCAGGGCTTCTTCTCCCATCCCCCTCCAGCCAGGGCTCCCTGGAAAACCAGGAACCGGAGAAGGCGCAGGCTTGGGTCTCCCACGGGTGCAGCCCCTCCCCAGGGATGGGCGTTGGGGGGCTGGGGTGGTGTGGAGGGGAAGCTGGCGCTAGGAAGGGCCTCCTTAGGGCCAGGACAGGAGGGGCCCCCGTAAGTTAGAGCCTGGAGGGGCTGAAGGTGTGCCACCCCCGCCCAGGGGAGCCCTAAGGAAGCTGCAGGTGGACCACGGATGCCTGGGCTGAAGAACGTGTGTGCGCCGTTAGCTGCTGGCATAGCCGGTGCAGAAGCAAGAGCAGGTCCATGTGTACCACGGTGTACGAAACCCAGAATGGCCTTCCTCTTCGGGCAGCCACGAGTATTATTATTACCATCTCCACGAGTGGTTACTACCATCTATAGAAGTATCACTACCATCTACTGTAGAATCTAAGGTTGCAGAAGGCTAGGGCTTATCTGTGTTCCAGAGTCAGAGCAGAGGCTTGAACCCAGATCACCAACTCCAGAGCTCTCAGGGCATCTCTATAAAGCTCCATCCCCCCAGCTTATACCACCCCTCAGAGACAACCCCAGGAACCCATCAGACACCAATCCAACCCAGAACTCCACAGGGCTTCCGTCCATCATTAGCCAGCAAGTCCCCCTCAAACCCATTCCTTGTTTGTTAGCACAAACATCCCCCAGTCACCCATCACATCAGAAGCTTCGAAAAGGAGGTGGAAGCCAAGAGAGGCAGAGTCTGATTGGGAAGAAGAACACTGATCCCAGAGTCAGCAGAGGTGGCTCTGATCCTGACTCGGGCTCCTCTGGCCCTCAGCTTCCTCATCTGTAAAATGGAAGCATTGGGTTGATCTTCAAGAACCAGGTCTTCCAGCCCTGTCCTGCCCTGCCAAGCTGCTGGAGGCCCCGAGGGCAAAGGGTGGGAGCAGCCGGTGGGGTTGGGGGTGGTCCGGGCATCTCCGGGAACCCTGAGAGCCTAGCATGGCGTCCATGCAGAGCTGGGCACCAAGTACTTTAGGGACAGAGAAGCCTCTCCAGGAAATTTGTTTCAATGCTGCCCTGAGGGCTAGAAATGTCCAGGGGTTTCTGTAAGAAAAAGCACTGGTGACAAGAGGAAGGAAGCAGGAGGGGAAAAGCAGAACATCACAGGGTGTTGACCCTGAGGGCAGACACCCCGGAAAGGAAATGCTCATCCCCCTCACCCTCCCCCGCTTACCCGCCTGAGCTGCACTCTGTCCACACAGCAAACACAGCTGACCTGGGTCAGCCTTCTGGCTCCTTTGTGTAACTCAATGGAACAGCCTTGTCAGTAAGTGTCCCTCCAAGTCAGCCAGCATCATCGAAAATCACCCAGCACAGGCCCGGGCAGACCATGCACTGCAGAGCTCTGGGGCCCACCGGGGCAGCCAAGGTCCAGGCCTGGACACAGTGCTGCCTGCCTGTCCTTAGATGCTTCCTTCTTCTCCCAAGCAGCCCTGCTGAGGGGAGAGACCTGCTCCTGAGCCCACGGTCCCAACGCAGCAGCACGTGCCCAGCATGACACGACAGCCCTGCTGCTCCTGGCTCCAAAGCACCCTCCTCACCCGTGCCAAGGCTGCATCACCAAACCACCACCAAACAGAGACCCTTGCCAAGAACCCTCCCACCAAGATTCGTTGTTGTTTAATCTCTAAGTCGTGTCTGACTCTTTTGGGACCCTATGGACTGTGGCCTGACAGGCTCCTCTATCCATGTGATTTCCCAGGCAAGAAACCTGGAGTGGGTTGCCGTTTCTTTCTCCAGGTGATCCTCCCAATCCAGGGATCGAACTGGCATCTCCTGCATTGGCAGGCAGATTCTTTACCACTGAGCCACCAGGGAAGGCCCACTACCATGATAGGCAGCTTTTATTTTCTCCTTTATACTGCTAACGTCCACAGTGGCCATGAATAATGTTTACAAGAACTTTTAAACAATTGTTTTGAGGAATCCTACAGGAAAGTATCTTGGTATCACAACTGACATGGTCACTGTCATCACTGCTCCAGTTACAAAACCGTTATGGAAAAAGATTGGGATTCTGAATATAAACACCCAACTGCCCAAATGTGCAATCTTCTAAATCCAATGTGGGGAAAAGATGGTTTAAGACACAAATTCACAAGATTGGGCTGAACAGAGCGGAAACACCACCAACAAAATGTGGGGGTCTGGAAAGCAGACTTGTAGCAGGCAAATTTCAGACAGTACATGACAAGTGATTTATGACAGAATCCTTTAAAGACACTTGGGATGACAGCACCACGGATCACCCGTGGGACCAGGGGTGAAGAGAAGGTATGTGTGAAAAAGATCAAATGAAAGAGGTTAAAATCTAGATACACTTCCACCATAAAGTCTGAAGGTTTTCTCTCTGGAGAGCACCAAACAGAGGGTCTTTGCACAGAGTCATCCAGCACAGCTGAGAGCAAGAATAATAAATCAAAACCAAGGAGATGGCAACTTCCCTGGTGGTCCGGTGGCTGACTCCCAATGCAGGGGGCCTGGGTTCTATCCCTGGTCAGGGAAGTAGAACCCACAAGCTGCAACTAAGAGTTCACATGCTCAATTAAACGTCCTGCATGCAGCAATAAAGATCAAACATCCCAAGTGCTGCAACTAAGACCTGGCGCTGTCAAATAAATGCAAAAACACAAACCCAAGGAGATGAAGGTTATTTTCAATGGTGATGTTGAATACCTCAGGCTAGTCGCTCATTGGGTTCCTAGAATACCAGCAGCCAGATCCTTACCTTCTTTTCAGCAGAATCTTATCAGTACAAGAAGAAAGGTCTAAGAATACAGATACCAGCAACCAGAACCCAAATGGTTTCCAAGTGGCTTGTTTACATCAGCCAATATGGATCTGCAAGTGAACCAGCTTCTAATCTGTATTTCAGTGCCCTGTTATTAATCCTGCAAGGACAACCAAGAACCACTAGATATCTGAGGGATGCCTCCTAACTTGGAGTGCTGTCACCACCATGCCCCTGACCCCCGGGGCTGTCTTTTTAACCTGACAGAACTACAGGTGTGACTAGCTGTTCTAACTCTGGGGTCTGGATTCAGGAGCTGAATGGATTTGGATAAAAATGCAGATCTGTTGTGGGCAATGTGCTCCAAACAGGGGAGTAAACCAAGCAAGAAGACATGAGCTCCAGAAAACAGGAATTCTAACCAGAAGGAAGGTGACGGGAATGCCAAGGAAAACCACAGAAAGAAGTCACTGAAAAGCAGCTACACTGTGCCGTATGCGCTGAGAGCAGATAACTCAAAAAATGGAACTGAAACATAATACTTGCTGTGACTGCCCTTGTGGAAAGCCATACAGATAGCTATTAGCAGGTGCGGCAGGTACGGGCAAAAGGTATAAAGAAAATAAGGCACATAAAGAAGCAAGGTAATTAGTCACTTCAGGAGGAAAAAAGGAAACTATGGTAGTACAGTAAAAAGCTCAGCTGTGAATAGTTGTATTAGTTGATTTAACAAGTGTGTGTGTGTATACATACATATATGCATATATATATATGTAACTTACAAATGAATGCATGTTTGCATGTATGCATGTGGATATATACATATTACATGGTGTATTAATTTCCTATGGCTCCTGTTACAAATTACCAGAAAGTTAATGGCTTAAAAAAACACAAATTTGTTTCCTGAAGTTCTGGAAGTCAGAAGTCTAAACAAAGTCCAAAATGGTTCTTGTCACTGGGCTGAAATCAAGGTGTTGGCAGGCAGTATTCTTTCCTAGAGGCCCTGGGGAGAATCCATTTTCTTGACTTTTTCAGCTTTGGGAGGCGGCTCACATTCCTTGGCTCCTGGCCCCCTTCCATCCTCAAAGTCAGTGATGGCTGGTCTTTATCCCATCTCACTACTCTGACCTGCCTGCCTCTGCCTCTCACGTTCAAAGACCCTGATGGTGACACTGGGCTCACCCAGGTGATCCAGGATGAATCTCCCCAGCTCAAGATCCTTCACTTAATCACTTCGGCAAAGGCTCTTTTGCCACATGAGGTGACACATGTACACGAGGTTCAGATGTGGATGTGGCCACATCCTAATCCTCTGAATTTTTGTGGGGTCATTAACCTGCCAGCTACACACATACATATATTATTTTATGCATAAGACATTTTTGAAAGAACATTGGTAAAGTACTATTAATAGTCTGCCTACCATGAGAGCTGTTTAGGAGGATGGCAGGGTAGAAAGCCATGGCTGGCCATATAAGAGAGTTAAGTTCTTATTTACTACATAGGAAATCAATGGAAAATGTCTACAACGGAAGAGTCAAAAATACGCACATTACTCAGATCCACGAGCTGTAAAATTGCTAGAAGAAACAGCTAAAAGTGGTTGCCTCTGAGAAGAAGAAGGTGGAAGTAGGCGAGGAACAAGTGCATTTTTGTGAAAAGATGTTAGTCCTGTCTGACTTCTTAAATTATATGCATGTATCACTGTGAAGAAATAAAGAGTAATTTTTGAAAAGAGAGAATGGGTCTGGGAATGAGGGCTTACATCCCAGCTGCAGCCATCGGGTGGGCTTGGCCTCCATCCACCTCCGTAAGAGTGCAGCTAAGTCCTTCCACCTCTATTACTCTATG